ATTAATTTTAAAGATCGTTTTACTCATGCCAGGCCTTTATTATTAAACATGAATATTCTTAATATTTACGAAGCAAATATATTTAAGGTACTTTGATTTATGTTTTAATGCAAAATTAATACTTGTCCTGTTTCTTTTCATAAGTTATATTTAATGAAAGAAAAAAAATAAATATATATTAAGAAATAACCAACATATCCAACAACCAATTTTTCGATCAAATATAGGCAAATCTTGCATTCAATAGCGTGGAGCCTTTTTATGGAACAAAATAGTTTTAAAACATTTTGATTTTTCTATTAATTGGAATTATTTTTCTTTTAAAAGAAAACTAAAAGAAGTAATTTTCTCCATTGATAACATATTTTTATATTTTTAAATTATTATCTATTCCATAAAATAATAAAGGAATTGTAATCTGAACGACAATATTTTTTAGATTACTTATATATTGACATTACATATATATTGATAAAAACTGATGTAATTTTTCGAGCATCATGATAAGATCGTGTGATCTTCTGGAAGTCCTACCAGTAATATATTCAATGTAAATTTACCTTGTACATATTATTCTGGAAAAAAGTATGACAAAAAAAATATATATATGTATATATATATATATATTTATATATATATATATATATATATATATATATATATATATATATATATATATATATATATATATATATATATATGTATATATATGTATATATATTATATATATGTATATGTATATATATATATATATATATATATATATATATATATATATATATATATATATATATATATTTATATATATATATATACAGGGCCGGCGCGAGTAGGGGTCACGTGGGGGTGCCATTAAACCTTTGCCGTCTAAAAAAAAAAAAAAAAAAAGTTCCTCGCTTTTTAAAATTTACCGACTGCCATAACGACATTTGCCGACTGACTTTAACGACCAACCTAACGACAGGGTCTACATTTGCCGACTAACTAGTCAAAAAGGGTCAAATTTGCCGACTATAAGATTGTATTACAATCTTATTAAATGTTACTTAAGTTATTAAAGTTTGCTTTTAAGTTAGTTTCATTTCGCCATAGTATTACCAAAGTGAAACCTAGTAATCGTAAAATATGTCTTTAAATGTCAAAAGCCTACTAAAAAATTAAAAAGCCCAGTTTTTTTGAAACAATCATATTATTATAGGTATATTCTTAAAAATATTATAAAATTCCACTAGGATAGATTGTTTCTAAATGTCAACAACTGTATTCTCAATAATTCCAGATATTTCATGTTTCTCACGAACAATTTAACAACCTTTTTATATAAAGGCGCCTTAAAGGGTATTAAAAAAAATGCTGAAAAGGTTTAAAAAGTGCATTTTAGAAGTAACATTCATTAGCATTTAAACATGTATATTGATTGGAAATGAATGAAAAATTTGACATACTGTGCGTAGTGACAAAAAAAAAAAAAAAAAAAAAAAAAAAAACCCGAAAAAGTGAAGACGTGCCAAGATTCATGTGGAAATGATAAATAAACATGAAATACTCTAGAGGTTGACTGCACAGAAGTAGCTTTCAAAAATAATTAAAATTCTTACCTTTTTCATTTTACCTCATTAAAAAATAATAATAATAATAATACAAAAATTATAATACTTGATAGAAAAATATAAAGTACAATACATTTTATATAAAAGTAAATAGAAAGTTGTTATTATTATTTTAATAAACTATAAAATTTTTAAATAAACTAATTAATTATAGTTTTTTTAGTGCCGAATTATTTATTCCCAACCGGAAAATATTGTATTATTATTAATATTAGGATAAAGGTAACGCGTCTGGAGAAACTCCAGTGTCCAGGTGTCTGTAGACTTCAGAGTGAAAGTTGATTTAGCAAGTAATAAGAATAGTGGTGCATTTTTTGCACAAAATATTTTTTAAGTAGGAAATATTAATTCAAGTAAAGACTTTAAAATCTTAATAACTTAATGTATCTTTGTTTTTTTCAGTGTTAGTCTTTAAGTAATTTAATTTAGCAAATATCTATTACTTTCTATATCATAAAGAAAGATAACAGATATTTACATATAGTATATCATATACTATATGTATATATCCTGTATATGTGTTGTTGATAAAGGAATATATATTCAGTTTTTTTTACAAAGCCAAACACCTGACAAACCAAAATAGCTTGCAGTATTTTTCATAATCTTTTCGTATATTTATATTTAAATATTTTAAGTATTATAAAAACATATTAAATTTTTTTAAAAGATATAAAGGTAATCAGTATATTTGAAAGAATTATTGTATGATTAAATATTCTTACACAATGACGGATTTTATTACCTGTAATGAATAAGTTACTGCACAAAAGCACCATATAATATGTAATTTAAAAGCTGTACTAGTAAAATTCATTTTTGAGAATCACTTATACCATCTTATAAAATGGTATAAGTGATTCTTAAGCTTAATAACTTTTCATAGAATACTTATTCTCAGTATTAAAATGACTTGTATTAACATACTATTAACTCATACTAATAATAGTTTCATAATTAAGTTTTTATTTTTAGGTTTTGGATTAATATGCGAGGTAAAAGTGAATCAAAGCCACCATGATTGAAAGCTTATAAAATTGAGTCTTTAAAATACCTTATATAAAATAAACTGTAATCCTCACTAAAACTTAAAAAATTTTACCAAACATTGTAAAGCATATTTTTGTTAAAATAAATTAATGAATGTAAAGTTTATTTAATTTCACATTTATTTTTCTATCATAATTTTAGGTAACTGTCCAAAAAAAATGCTTTTTGTGTAACCAATTATACTTTACAATTATTTTTTTAAATATTTAATTATTTGTTTTAGCTATTTACAGTTAAGTAATACTTTAAATTCACCTAGATGCACTTAATCAGGTACAGTTATTTATAAGGAAATCCTCAGCTATGATTTTTTGTAAAGAAAAAAAAAAAAAAAAAAACTTTATTGGTATTAAAATAAGCAATTAAATTTAAAAGATGATAAATAAAAAGTTATATAAATAAAAATTATTTTTAACAGTTTTAGTATGAATCACCTGGAATTTGATACATGTAGTCTTTTGCCCAATCAATTTAAATATTACTTAAATATTTTTTTTAGAGTAGAATAAATATAAATTAAATAATAAAAGTAAATGATTTAAAATATTTTTAAGGTCAAACGATGTTGACATTAAATTTTTTGCTAATTTTTTGAAAACAAAATTAGCCATATTTCTTGAATTTGAGCTGTAAAAAAATTGTTTTAAGTCTTTTACAACACAATTAGCAATAACATGTTTTTCTAGTAATGTCAATTTTGTTGTATTTAGGGTGGGGTGGTATTAAGATTAGGTTAACCTAAAGTTAACCTGATGGCTTAGGTTTCATAATTTAATTGAACATAGAACATAATTTTTTTGTTATAATATTATTATAAGCTATAAAAATTTGGAACCTAAATGAGTATGCTTTGAATTTTAGTTTAAAAAATGATTTTTGTTGTATAACAATGGCTTATAATCAAAGGGTTAAAAAATCAAGCAATGTTCAAACTTTATCAAAAGAAGATATTCTTGATGCAATAGATAAATTTAGTGGAGGTATAAATAATGTTTTTGTAAATGATTCATATAAATTTTTATTTTTACTTATTTGCCTCCCCAACATTTAGGGTTTTTATTGTTGATATTATGATTATTATTCATATGTACTTTGTAAAAAAAACTTGTTTAAATTTTTTTTTACTAATTTTAGACAAAAATTTACTCTTTTCTGGTGGTGCTGAGACTAATGCAAAGTTTAGTGATGATCATGAAGAAAGTTTACAGTAAGTAAAATTTTATTTTACTGTAATAGTAACAATTTTATTTTACTGTATTGTTTTTTAAAATTTGCGGGCTGACTGGTCTAAAATGGTCAAATGTGCCGACTAAATGAACGAAAAATTAATTGATTAGATAGAGGGAGAGGAGGGGAAGGACCACACTCCCTTTTCCACACATAATAATTGACAGAACTATTGGTTTTAATATTTTTCTATTTTTCCTGGCTCGTTCATCAATTACTGAGTTAAATCAATAAAATTTATCTTTTGTTCCATACATTGGCGAAAATGAGCAGCCTATATAATACTTTGTTTATAAATTATAAGTAAATCATATTTTTCTTCATTGCTTAATTTACTAGTTTCATAAGTTGCATAGAGTCCAACATCATATTTGTTTACAAAAGGTAGTTCCCAATAATTTCCAAAAATAGAAGAATTACTTTATGAGTTTACATTTTTTGGTGGCTCACTAGATATTAAAGACCATTTTGCAGCGACAGATAGCGTAGAACTTTTTAATTAACGTGGCAATGATACTGAACAAACTTTGGCGATGATACTGAACAAACTTTGGTGATGATACTGAACAAACTTTTTTTGCAGGAAAAGATGAATTAATATTAAATTAATCAATTTTAAGTTGCTTTCTTTTTTTGAAGAAAGTATATTTACTTGACCCTAATAAATCTGCTTCCTGAGAAGAATCTAGAATCAAGATAGTAGATTTTAAAGTAGCAACCTGATTTGTCTGAGTTAATTTAACAGGGAATCCAGCTAATTTAGGGGCAAAAATATCAGGTATATTGTATTTGTTAGATGAACTTGTAAAAGAGGGACAAAATGATTTCTGCTTACTGATTTATTAGAGGCCTGATTAAATCCTGCGATAACTGAAGAAAAATGTGTACTTTTTTTGAAGACTGTTTAACACGAAGTCTAATAGTGCAATTAAAAAACATATCATAAACATTCTTTTCGACTTTTTTTGTATCATTTTCACAAGGATAATATGACTCAATTTGCATTCCAATAACACTTGAGAGAGCGCACATAGTAAGAAATGAAGAAAAGGAATAGTTTGTAGCAATATTGATAGACTCTGATATGACACTTGGTATTCTGTTATTTTTGCAAAATAATATTAGAAAAGCTTTATGTTTAATATATAAAAGAATATGCTTTTTGCAAAATAATAATAGAAAAGCAGTGTTTTTATCTATGGTTTGAGAATTTGTAGGATCATTTTGAAAAAAAATAATTGCATGATTTGAATAAAAACCAGCATTAATATATAATTTGATACTAAAGTATTCTGACAAAGATTCATTGCCATTTAAAGATATGGAACAAGCATTAAATAAGTAGTTTCCATTTGGAGTAGATCTAATAATTTTCAAAAAAGTTAACATAAATGTTTAAGAAAAAAAAAAACAACTGATGACACCTATTAGCTATAAAATATCATCTTAAAAGTTTCTAATAATTTCCAATGCTTTAGTACAAAAAAATATACAGAAATGAATATTTATTTAAACTAGTAACTAATCTTTTTTTATAAAAATATATTTTTTAAAAATTTATTTTCTTCAAAAACAAAGTTGCTTTTCCTAAAACACACACACATGTACACAAATGAGTGTTGTGTGACATAAACAATCAAACTAATATACACAATATACCAAAAAAATATTCCACGCTGTTTGAAAACTTACTTTATTATTTAAAAAAATTTTACCTCACTGGATGAAAATTTTTTTCCTGCTCGAAATCTCTGAGATAAGGGAAACTGAATATGTGAAACTTTGCACATTTTGTGAAATACACTTATTTTAGCTTCTTCATTAAAAGAAAACATTTTTTCTTATACTATTATGAATCTTTTCTATAATACTAAAAATTAACAATTCCTTTTGAGCTTGAACCATATTTTCATCTAAAAGACATTTCAAAACGATTTGAAGCATAGAATCTGCAATATTAGATACTCATTTACAGCACTTAAATTAAAAGATTTTTTCAGTTTTCAAATTTGCAGTAAGAGCTTGCATAATTGGCCTCTACCCGTCAAAGATTTTTCTGATTGGGCTGGCATCCCTCAAAACTATTTTTGATTAGCTTAAGAAACCAAGCCAATCAAAAGTCTCTTTTGAGAGGTGCAGACCTATCAAGAACATTTTTGAAAAGAATCAGAAAGTGTCATAGGTTTTCCAATCAAAACACTACAAAAAAGTAATATTAAAATAGGACTTCTTTAAAGAATGAAATCAAGGTATAAAAATAAATAAAAAAATTTTAAAATTTGTAAACAATAAAAAATGCTATGCAATATTTAATTTTGCTTTAAAAAATTATGAGGATGATTAAGTTGAGGAATGCTGGAGCACCCTTTGAACCCCCTCTGGATCCGCCCCTGCAGTATGCTAATTTCTATGATAAAAATAAACAAGACAATTATTTAATGATAGTCGAGTAAATGTTCAGCATGTTAATAGCCTCTTAGTATATTGATTACAAATAGTTCCTGCTTCCAGCTATTTATCAATGACTGCAATGCTTTTTTGTCTAGGTACTTTATTTCTTACTTGAAACTCGTTTTTAAAATAATTTTAATTGTACATGTGATCTTTAAACCAATGCCCAGTCATACAAAATGATTCTGCGTACTTTTTCCAAGTTTGCCCTTGTTGTTGGTATAAAAATGAATGAAAGAATGGATTTAAAATTCAAAAAATAAATCATGACAAAAACATTATTTAAGTTATATTTGTTGATAATCCTGTGGATATCACCAAGTTGGTTGCAATTTTACTTTTGTTGTATTTCTGATTGGTGGACAAGTACTCCCATTTTCCTCTTCATGTTCACAATCTGAAGATTTTTTAGCACTCAATACATGATCATGATAATTCTGGCTATTTAGCAGTTAGTTTTAATCTCTTTAAATGGTAAATCTAAAATGGAGAATTTGTTGCATGTACAAACTGTTCACTAAATTTAGCAGGTATGCATACAGCATCAACTGCTGTTACATTTTTTGAAACTATGGAGAATTTATTTATATTTTACTCTTCCTGACTCATTGTTGGGATGTTTTAACTTCAATCACTAGTCAAAGTGACAAGCACATAATGGAAATGTGATTTCCATTGAAATGGGAAGATGCAGTTAGCAGAAATAGGAAGATGCAGTTAGCAGGCAATAGCCTAATGTGAATTTGGCGTCATCAAATTCTCTTTATTTTTTTATTATTTAAAGGCATTAACTTTTTTCAATTACTGCAATAATATTATTTACCACAAAATGAGTTAAATGTTATTTAACCGCTTTTTTATTGTTACTATAAAGGAATGTTTATTTTCTTTGATTTTTTTTTAATTTTAAATAATTAAATTTAATATTGCATTTAAAAAAATGTTTGATATTAAGAAATTTCTTTCTTTTCTCGATACTTGCAAAAATAAATTAAAATATGTTAAATTTTTGAATTTTGAAAAATAGTTATTTCTTAAATTTCTAATTTTGGCTTTGCAACTACAAATATTTTATTTAAAAAGAAGTTAGAGAGTAGCGAATAAAAAAATTACATTAATTATTTTTTTTTATTAAAAGCTTATATTTTTATTAAAGGTTTTGTTGTGAAAGCGAAGATTATTTTTCCAAACATCATTTATTAAAAAATAATTGCTGCGATTTAAATTGCATTATAAAAAAAATAATAATAACTTTAGTTTTGTGCAAATTTTTGGTATAGTCGTTTATTTAAAATTTTGAGTAAAAAAAAAAAAATGTTTAGGAAGGAAAGCTAAAAAAACAATTGCAATAAAAATAAGCTAATTTTTTGTTAGAACTTATAAAATTTAAATATTGAACATTATTTAGTAATATGTGTAACGCTTTAAAACAAGGCCTTGAATGTTGTGTAAAACATACCCAAAAATCTTTAATGGTGTAGGGAAATTAACTTGTGAAGTTAATTGTTGTTAGTTGCATTGCAATCATTTATGTTTTTGAGCTTTCTCTGAGTCATTTCTTTGGGAAATAAATGATACAAAGAAATTTGTGATAATCTGGGCATTATTATAGATTGTCGATCTATAAAAATAGAAACAAAAAGCAAGGAAAGAATATCATAATGCTGCATTGTCACATGTAAATGAGCTGAGAAGGGGAGTATATTTGTCCCTTGAAAGAGTGGTCAAAGAATATTTCATTTGTAATTGAAAAAAGTTCTATTCAATTGCCAAACTATTGTTTTCTTTTGTAAATAATGCTTTTTAACTTTGTGTTATTTTGATGAAATATGTAGACAAAAAGTTAGTAAATATACCTAATAATTAATACTAGTAAATATACCTACTAATTAGTAAATAAGTTTCTTATTGATAATTAGCTAAGTATTAAAAGTTTCTTATAATTTTGGGCTTTTAGTACAGGTTTCTAATAAACTAGGTTATAATCTTTATATATATATATATATATATATATATATATATATATATATATATATATATATATATATATATATATATATATATATATATATATATATATATATATATATATATATATATATATATATATATATATATATATATATATATATATATAAATATACATATATATATATATATATATATATATATATATATATATATATATATATATATATATATATATATATATACAGGCCATTATTCTTAAATTTAATTTGTACCTTTAATGTGTACCTTATATATTTAATGTGTACCTTATACATTAGTCAGCATATTACATATAATTTTATTAGTTTGTTCTAGCCTTTGTCAGTATAGATTTTTATTGTACCCCCTCTTCATCTACTTAAACTTTGGTTTTGCACTGGACATGTGTCCATTTTTGATAATCTAATGCTAACACTTAATCTTACTTATTTAATTTTCTTTACTTCCCTCAGGGTATTACGGCTCAAAGTGTTCCAACTAGTACACGAACCCTGTTCGTGCACAAAATTTTACAAAAAA